ATCGCTTTCCCCATGTGAGTTAAAGTGTCTGGAGTGAGAAGGAGTGCGGTCTGACAGAGTGGGTGGGGGAATCCACTCAAGCCTTGGAGAAATTTAAAGGAGCCACTTCCAAAATGCTTGTCTGTTCAGTGCTGTGTGTGTGTGTGTGTGTGTGTGTGAGAGAGAGAGAGAGAGAGAGAGAGAGAGAGAGAGAGAGAGAGAGAGAAGAGAAAGAAAAACAATAGGAAGAGAGAGAGAGATAAAACTCTGTGCTATTATTTTTAATTGTTCCATTATTTATCATGTGTTAATATTTTACACTGTCCCTACACCTAGAGTGATTTTTCTGCCTTTCTTTTGCCCAGTGATGGCATTACTACCAGCAGCAACCATTTAAGAAGTTTTGAACATCTATGCTCTTTTAATGTTTATATTTGGAGCTTTAAAGCAGTATTGCCCAGGGACTATTAACTTCACCCTACACATATATAATACAGTGAGTTTCCATTGCAATGCTGTGTTCCCCCAAATATTGTTTTGACACTTCCATGGATGCTGCATCTGATGGCAGGTGGCAAATTTTATGGAAAAAATGCAATCAAAGACTCGATGTTTGTTTCAGTCATTTCAATTGTAATCTTATGTTTGAATTACTGTAGAGTAAAGAATTAAATATGACAATCAACGTGAGTGCCAAAGAAACCACTACTAACAAAAAAGAAATTGCAGACCTGAGACATACTCTTCAGAGTTTGGAGATTGACCTGAAAACCCAGCTTTCTTTGGTAAGGACATTCTTTATCACCAAATAAATCATTCTAATTATAAAGATTGATTCTTAATTTAATGCTAATTGAAAATTATGGGTGTTGAATTACAATACTTGGGGAGACGGCAGGGGTGGGATACGACAGTGTTAACTACCAGTTTGGGATTTACGAGCTTTCCTGCACTCTGCGAGCTGCGCGCCTGTAAATTGTCATCAGCATGCTGTGTGCAGAGAAGCAGCCTCTGAAACAGCCCTCTTTTCCTGCTTTTTTAACTGCAGCTGTGCCTCGTTCGGCAGCTGAAGTTGAAAAATCAGGAAATAAAGATCAGGTAACAGCCTGGGTGGGCAGGTGGGCAAAAACATCAACAGACATAAAACTGGTTCTATGTCTGCTGCTCTTCAGAGCTACCAGTTCTACAGAGGTGGACAGAACCAGTAGAAACCCACCCTGGGAGACAGTAAATTGAAGAAAGCTATAATGTGCTATAGTTAAAACAGGCAGCTTTAAAATGTGTGAACTTCAATTCCCAGAATTTTACAACCAGCATGCTCACAGGGAAATTCTGGGTGTTGAAATCTAACAGATTTTAAAGATATAGATGTCAATGCAATTTGATGCTGGTTATTCTGGAATAACGCCTCTTAAATTTATTCCTGGTTTATTTTCAAATTTAAAGAATAAAAAGATCAAACAAATGAATATTTCCGGGAAACACTCCCTATATATTATGCAGAAAATTGATACCAAAATTTACAGGCAGACAGATCTTTTTGGAAAAGCAGAAGAAACATATGTCAACATTTAACAGTAGCTCAACGATGAACCAATTATCTGGAAGGGTTCTTCCTTGTTGGATTACTTCAAACAGAGGCTGGAGAGCCCATTGGCTGCAGATGCTCTAGCCTTGGGTTTCACACATCAAGCAGCAGGTTGGTTTACACTGCCCCATCCAGCTTCCACTGAATAGCAAACACTTGGCACTGGCATTATTACCTCAACTCTAGATATGCTGAGACTTTAATGCCCAAAATCTGCAGCCAATTGCTTATCAGATGTATGTTGACGAGAACTTCTGGAGAACCCCTGTTATCTTTCTTAGATGGTATCACATGAGGAAGGCAAACTGCACCATCAGGTTGCTTTTTAAAGTAACACTTTATATATATTCAATGTGATTCTTCTTGTTCAGTTAGAATGCTCCTAAACTTTCAAGAACAAAATGACAATCTAGTTACAACAATTCAGATTACGAACTCAACAAGATTGAGATGGAGCCTAATCCATGCAAACAGTATGCTGGCATATATATGGTTTTAGAAAAAGCTTTATAAAACAGGATAGGGTACAAAGAATTGTACCACTTTATTTTGTTGGTGAATCATGCTCTGGCTTGAAATTTTTACAAAGAGCTCAAATAAACATTACATTATTCCTGAAATTTAAGAAGTGAAGGGCATTGATTCAGGATATGACAGCCTATTGCCAAAAAATCACGTTTCTCAAAATGCTTAGGTGTAAACAGCCTGACATTTCTTGTCGATATAGATTTGTACAAAGGTACTCCCCACCTAGGCACTTAACTGTTGAAGGACTGATTGTACAGAAATAAGCCCTGCATCTCTATTCCCTTTCAGAGGCAATCCCTTGAAAGCACCCTTACAGAGACAGAAGGCCAATATTGTGCCCAACTCTTGCAAATACAAGGGACGATTAGCAATGTGGAGAACCAAGTACAACAAATCAGAGAAGACATGGAGTGTCAGAATGCAGATTACAGGTGTCTCCTGGACATCAAGATCGGTCTTGAGAATGAGATTGAAACTTATCGACACCTAATTGATGGAGAAGCATCAGGAAAAGGAATGAAGGAACTATCAGACAAAAGAGGGTATATCACAATTCAATGTTGTCATTAGTGGAAGCATCTTGGAAGCATTAGCCAAACGGGTTTAGAATTCCTAGATTAGAAAAATCCACAGAATAACTGATTCACAAACCAACATAAAAGAGCAAATTAAATGAGTGTAACAACTCTGACTACAGATTGAGTGTGGGATACTGTGTCATATTTTTCTGCTTTATACAAGCACATAGTTTCATGCATGAAAACCATTCAAGATTGTCAAAAGTGCAGATTTACTATTCCAATTGAACAACATGGGATTAAGTTTATGGCATTCTATGGGATTAAATTTATAGTTAAGAATTTTATAGTTCACATTAATATGGTGAAGATCTCATAAACATATATTGGCTATGCATAGAGTTTCTATTAATAATATTGGCAATACAATTCCCCTAAAAGTAACATGGTCAAATTATTGCTTATTACAGTAAATCTATACAAAGAAGTAGCAAAGATCTGGGATCACAAAATCTGGGATCTGAAAAAGGTTCAGGATTAAGAGCTTCAGGCTCTGATAACAGAAGCGCAAAGACTGGCACAGAGACCAGTACTAGAAAAAGTGAAGCCAGAAATGTTGAATCCACTACCAAAGATAAAGGTAAATATTCTTGGAATTCAATAGAATTATTGTGATTGTTTCGGATTCAATGCAGTGTTTTTGTTTTCTACTTCTATTACCTCAGCACATATGTGATTTTTTCCCCTAGAATTCCAAACAGAATGACTCCTTATGGCAGGGGTGTCAAACTCAGGGCCCACGGGCTGGATCTGGCCCATGGGGTGCTTAGATCTGCCCACTTGGAAACAGCAAAGATCTGGCTTGCAGTGCCTCTGCTAACAAAAAGAGAGCTTGGAGAGCTCAATTTTCACTGGCAGAGGGCTGCAGGAGGCCATCACAGCCAAAAATGGAGCTCAGGAAGGCCATGTACAATCCCCCCAAACTTCGTTTTCGCTGGCAAAGGGTTGCAGGAGGCAATTGTGATCAAAAACAGAGCTCGCGGGCCTGTTTTCTCTCGGGCCACAGATGCCCACCCAACATGAATGACATCAAGATGGCCATGTCCACCCCGGCCTCCCAAGGTCAAACACAACCGTGATGCAGTCCTCAATGAAATTGAGTTTGACATCCCTGCCTTATAACCTTTCCTAAAGTGCTAAAAATTGTTGAAATTCAGCACAGATCTTACCATTTTCTTAAAATACAGTAAATGATCTCTTCTTCCTATATCTCATCTCTTATTTATAGACAAGTTCATAAAAACCTTGTCATTTCAGACCTGATGGCACAAAAGTCTATTAAGGATTACCAACAATAACACCATATTGTTTCCCCCCCACAATTTGTATGTTTTTACTGTTGCAATTATAATTATTAATAAAATTACTATTTAAAATTGAAACATTTTATATGGACAGGCTAATACCTACACATACTAATTTCGTTAGCAAGACCTGAGTGGTGCTGGAGGAAGGGTTGTTCCCAGAGGTGGTATTCAGCCAGTTCTGACAGGTTCTGGAGAACAGGTAGCGGAAATTTTGAGTATTTCGGAGAACTGGTAAATACCACCTCTGGTTGGCCCCGCCCATCTATTCGCTGCCTCCCAACTCCCAGCTGATCGGAGTCCCAACTGATCGGCTGGGTCTTCTTTTATTGCACTGCACAGGAGAACGAAGCTGGAAAGCAGGTTAGTGGGGTGGGGAGGGAATGGGGGTTTTACAGTATCCTTCCGCTGGAATAGGGTGGAAATGGAGATTTTACAGTATCCTTCCCCTGCTACACCCATCAAGTCACACCATGCCTACCCAGCCATGCCCACAGAACCAGTAGTAAAAAAAATTGAATACTACCACTGGTCGTTCCTCTCTCAGAAATGTGCCCATCTGTTTTGGTCTGGCACTAGCCATGGCTCCAGGAGAAAAGAAAGGTGGCAACAGATGTCGCCGTTGAGATGTTGTGGGTTTTCAAAGGCTCTGCTCTGCAGATAAGCAGATGAAGCTGGCTCTATAGAACAGTTGGGAATTGAAGCTTATGTACTGTCTCCAAACTGCTATTGTCATTTGTTTTAGCTCCTGTATTTTGTTGCAGAACTGGCAATATAGCTCTCAAAGCTATAGAAGCTTGAGGATTTCAATTTGCCACATGATGGCATTAAGTCTGGGGTAACTCAAGTGTTTGTGATCTACATTACAATCATTATAGGCACTGCATATTAGGCTTGGTTTTTTTTGTCTTAGGCTGGTAACAATATGATCTCATTTTGAGGAACATCACTGTCTGTCTCTCTGTCATGCTTTGATTGTTTATTAGCTTGTGTGTGTCATGGGAAGAGAAGGATAGATCAGCCAGATCCAAGGAAGCCTGATGTTTTCCCTGAGGATCTGGTGGGACAGTCTGACTGTTCTCCCAGGCCTAGAGTTAAGACTGTTCTTTTTACCCCCTCTTTCCTGGTTTGACTTATTTATTTGATAGGTTTGTATAGTTGCCCAACTCACACACAGTGACTCTGAGCAGTGTACAGCATTAAAATTAATTTAAAAATTTAAAACCTCAGGAGCAAGGTGCTCTTTTCTCTGGGATGAGAGAGGCCAAAGAAAATGACCTGATACTGGCAACCCCTTCAATAAAGGTCAGGCAGAGGGGGGGTACAGACAAAATCCTGAGGTATCCACAGTCTCTCTCTCTCTCTCTCTCTCTCTGCTCAATAAGTCATGACATGCTGAAGACTCAGTGTTAATGGATTCATTTTTCTAATACTCATCCTCATGTGCAAATATCATACTCTACCAATGGAATAATGTACCATTTGCATGCAAAATACTTCTCTTCCTTCTTTCTGTCCTTCCATTTATCATGTACATTTAGCATGTGATAAATAATTATCATTGTTTGGGCAATGCATAGTTATTGAATGAACATGAATAATGTGTAATTGACCCAAATTTAACAATTTGCCTCCCAAGTATGAATCTAAAAAAAAAAAAATTCTTTGTTATTATGAGAATTCAAAGACATAGCAAAATTATATCTGTAATAACATGGGAAATAGGCAAGCGTTTAAATTTTTTAAGAAATTTCTCCAATTTCTTTAAATTGAAAAAAATTCTTCTTCAATTTCAACTATCTCTCCAAGAAGGTAAGAAATGTAGATTATGTGTCTCATTTTCAAAATGGGAAATGAATTTATAAAATTATGTAATACAGCTTCCAGAAATTGTACAGAAACCTCTGTTTTTCTCCAGCATCACTTAGCACAATTGAAAACATATATTAAAATCCATGGTTTCTAGTTTCTTACATTAAACAAAAGAATTCATTATTTAATTACTTCAAACGAGAAGGAAAAAAGTTGAAGTATCTTATGTATAGCTATTGTCCCTAGACAACCTGCATCAACCAGGCACAAAACCTAGAAATTAACTCAATTTGAAGAAAAAAAGAAATAATTAAAATCAATTGGTTTTAATGCAGAACTTGTTATATATGACAAATGCATTTCTATGTTTTGATACAGCTATTTTTAGTAGCCTAAGGAATGTTCTTTTCCTATTAATGAAATTTCTCGAGCAAATAATGTTTCCATTTGCATTTTTGATATACTTGCTTTTCTTTTCTTTATTTTATCTTTAGAGATAAAGAAAACCAGAGTCATTAAAACAATAATTGAAGAATTAGATGAATATGGAAGAGTGACTTCCTCCAAAGTCCAGTCTGTTGAAGAAACTAAGGGATAAAAAAATATATAGCAACTTTTTTTTCAAAGGCATTCTTGGCTTTAGGTGATGCTGCAAGCAGAAGAAACATACATTTATATTAGCAGAATTATATCACAATAGAACTGTTTCCTTTTTTATTATGTAATCACTTTATAGTTAATTTGATCACCTGGTGTGTTTGACTTTAATTCTGATAATCCCTTAATCAACGTACAGCTTTTAGAATTATGGAAGAGGCAACATCAGATTAGGTCCTTTCCCTAATGTCTCTTGATTAATGGTGCAACTTCTACATATAAAATCACTTAATTATTAATATATAAAGGTATTTCAAATTTAATTTTGCAGTTTGCAACTATTTATCCACTCCCACATACATTTCCAAGGACATTTCCTATTTCAAAAGGTTCATATTGTTTTCTAATAATCTAGACTAATTTCATTCTGAGTGAAATTCAGTTTAGTGTAGTGGTTAAGGTATCAACCTTACCCAGAAGCCAGGAGAGCATGAGTTCAAGTTCTGCCTTAAAATGGGCAACTTTGGACCAATCACGTTCTCCCAGCCCAAGGAAGGAGGCAGTAGCAAACCTTTTCCAAAAACTTGCCAAGAAAAATATAGGGGTGTGTCCAGGCACTCTTTGAGTCTCAGAATAATCAGGCTGTGGAAAAGCACTGGGAGTTTCTGATTTAACCTAGCCTCGCTTACTATATGATCACTATAACCCTACATATTACTCCAAATACTTATTAGGAAGTTATCACTCATTTCTAATTCAAAAACCTATGGCAATTTTAACAAATAGGACTTCTGGTTTCCAAAAGCAAATAATAACTAAGACAGAAAAGGGGATGAACTGCAAATAAGCAACATAGGCAATAGTGTTAGGAGTTGTAATTCAGCAATATTTTAAAGTCTGTAGGTTCCCTGTTTTTGGTCTAATCAGATATCTGAACAGCAAATTGATATCTCCTCTAAAATACATTTTATAATTGTGTCCACACTGAAGCATAGGAGAGCTTGTAATAGTAAAATGCAAAAACAAATGTCATTGCTGCAAGAATTATAGAAGTATAGTATGAATGTAGTATACCCCCCTAAAAAAAGCATTTTTAATCATTCTCAGATCAGATCCATCCCTGCATAATCCCACACCTATCCTGTTTTGATATCTTACATATTTCCACTTCTAACATTCTTCAGTAAGAAGCACACTGCAATGATTATGATTTATGCTATGATTTTTTTTGCTGTTGCACAAAACTGAGCAAATAATGAAGGCACCATGGTAGCAAGGTTTCATGGTATTTTTGCAGAGCCTATATATAGAGAACAAGAAAGATTACAAGAAATATGCAATAACTGTCAGATAAGCAAAAGGGCTGAAACATTTTTTTGGTTGCAGAAAAATTAAAAAACATTTTGAAATGGCTCAGGCAGACATTGCCATGATTGATTTGCCTTTAAGAAGCAGAAAGAAATACAGCATAATCAGACTTGAGTAATTCTGTTATCAGAGTCAAATCTCAATAAAATTAATTTTAGTCTTCCTGTGGAGTTGATTTTGTGATCTAGTATATGATATCTAGTGGGATTGACACCTCAATTGCAAGCATTCAGAAGTTTTTTCCTTGATTATTTATTTGCATCAAACATCCAGAAAGTAGAAACAGCAGATAAATAATCAGAGGAGAAGAAAAAAGTATCATAAATCAAGGAATCATCAGAATGAAATCACAATGCAATCAAGCTGCTGCAGAGAAACAACTAGCAAACTGTGCTCTTTCACGCACTGATTCATCTGAAACAGCTACATCCAGAGAATACATGAATCCACAAGCAATCCTGAGCTATTGATATAGTCTACTATTGGAAATCTGCTGTCTTCCAGCACTGCAATAGTTCAAAGGAATACCTGTTCTTACTAGCATTTATTGATTAATTTCATATATATAGCTATGTTTATCTTATAATAAACTCCGGGAGCTCCCAATCAAAAATTAAAATAACATAAAAACCAAATTAAAGCCAAAAACGCAAGAACAAAACCTGATGGCAATCTGGTTTCTAATGTGCAGTCAACATTTTATCCCAACTCGAGGGAGGCAAAGCTGGGTCTTCGGGGCTTTACAGAGACCTGTGGAACTTCAGGGGCGGAGTATTCTGTAGGGCAAGGGCTACCACAGAAAAGGCAGATTTCCTAGTTCTTATCAGATGGCAGTGCCTGAAACAAGGGACTAAGAGTATGCCTATCTAATCTGTTAGGATGGGTAGGTGCCATTAGAGACCTCTGGCCATGTGCCATACAGGGCTTTAAAGGTGATGGCCATCACCACCTAGAAGGAAACTGGAAGCCAGTACAACAGAGGTATTACATGGGAAAACCAAGGGAAACATGCTGCTGATGCATTCTGGACCAGATGAAGTTTTCAGGTGATATTCAAGGGCAACACCATGTAGTAATCCAAATGGGATGTGACCAAGACATGAGTGACTATAAGCAAGGGCTTCCAGTTCAGGAAACGTTGCAATTAGCACAGTAGACAAATTTGTGCAATGAATAATATAGATTCTTCCACATTTTAACCACCACACTAGCTTTGCAGATACCCCTGGCAACTGATTCACATTAACAATACTGCACGCAACCAAACACTTTATCATTTAGCAATCTATTCAGATATTAGGGACACACAGTTACAGAAAACATTTTCTGAAAACAAACAGTTTCATAAAATTCAGTATATCAATTAAACTTTATGGTGCAAATTACAATATAAATTTAATCTCACATAACTTAAATTTGCCATTTCCAAGACCAAATGAAACAGGAAGCCTAACATAAATAGTAAACATTTATAATTCTATCAACATGCATAGGTAGATTAATCAGTTTATAATTCTCAGGAATCACATTTTAATATAGAACAAAAGATTTTTAACATAAGGCTGAAAATATACCTAGAATTAATCTATATCAAGAGAAATAATAACTACTTAGACATCTAGCAGTTTCTTTGGCCCTTGAGAAAAAAGATTTTTGTTTTACACTCTAAGGCATTCTTTACAAGTAAGGATCATGATGCAACATGCTACAACTCAACAGTACTGGAGGCACACACAATAAGAAAAAAGGGTGTCACTTTCCCCTCTTTGCCCTATGGATGCTTCAAATGCTGCTTTGATCTTATGCAGCTAAGGAAAAGAGTTGATAAATGGCCAAGGTTGCTTGCAAGGAGAGTAGTGAAGTAGGTAAGTGCTGTACATGTTTCTGGAATGGACCATTTTTTCCCAACAATGAGGTGAATGGAAAGCGACAAAGAGTTAATCCATTAAAGAGAGCTTCAATCATCTTACTCAAATAGAATCCTGGATATTGAATATAAAAGGAGAAAGTGATCAGAGAGAAGCCAAATGTGATTTTTGAGGCAGGCCAAAGAAACCACAAATCAAAAGGAATATTAGTCAACCATTGTGCAGGCCTCTAACTTTTTTCTTCCACAATGGAAGCAGAAAAATCTGCTACAGGGATGGGATGCTTGTGGATGAAGTTTTTAAGAGACAATTTATCTTGCTTTATTTATCTCCCATAACTTCCCACAATTTTGGCTTTGAGAGGGAGTCTTAAGGAAAATATAGTAATATTCATAGTAGAACATATTTTGTTTAAGGCATGGATGAGCCATGTGGCCATCCAACTGTTGTTAGATTGGAGTGTGCATCACTCCTCACAATTGACCATGATGGCTAGAGCTGATGGGCATAAAAGTTCAACAAGACATTGTTGTCCTATTGCTATTTTAATTCATATCATATTTAGCACGTCATTTCTAATGTCTCTAGACACAAGTGATACTTCAGAGTGTGGGATTTTCAAATCTTAAGGCAAACAGGCTGGAAAACATTTATATCTTTCCAGAGGTTTCTGACTATTTTCTTCAAACATGTAGATATTTTGTCTTTCCTTCCCACCCATTTTTTTCTAAGTTTGGTAAACAAATAAACATAAAAAGGGCTAGGAAGACCCTTGATGATTCCTAATGTAAGGTAACAAGATCGGAAGCCCCTTTAAAATAAACAATCATGGCAATGCTACATTGAAGCTCTAATGTAGAAATGCCCATAATGATTTTAACTGTTTTAGTACATGTATTTAATCTGTTTTTCATACATGATGTCAGGATTAAGGAAGACACATGCCATCCTTAGGGGTGAGAAGGTTTTTTCCTTCTTCTTTTCTTTTTTGTATATATCCCAGTTTAGCTTGATTTCAAAAGCAAAGTAAGAGCCTAATATGAAGCAAAAAAGAGAAATGTAAGAATAGGAGATCTGTGATACAGTGCTTTCTAAAACATTGGCCAGAACATTTTAAAGCCAAAACATATAACATAGAAAAGCAAAGGAGAAAACTACAATGTTAAACATGATCTGCTGGGAAATGCTGGCAATAGTATCTGCAGAAGAATTAGTGGAAATAAAATGTTGGTGATCCACATCTAAAATAACTTGTTCTGTTCCATCTTAGAGTTACTGTGAAAGAAAAACATTTAGTCTATTAATCTCAGTTCCCATCCCATCTCTAAGAACTTGCAAAGACAGGCTGCACATCAAATTATGAATTCCAATATAACATCAAAGATTTTTAATATCAGCTACGAAGGTTTGAGCCAAACTAATGACAAGGTATTTAAGATCTGTATTTGTTTGATTAAAAAGAGAAGAGGGAAATAAATCCTTACCAAATGAAATGGAATACTATTGGTTTTGTTCATACACGTTCCTTGAAGCTTTGTTTGGCTTCCTCTTTCAGTTAAAAGAGCTGTGCCTGGGGGCTGGAGCTGTTTGCAATCTAAAGTTAAAAGAAAGTGTTGCTGAGGAGCAAAAGACAAAAAGAGTAGCTCATCAAATTTTAAGGATAAAAAGAAAAGTAAAACAGATCTGGCTCTTTTCCATCCCACCTGATCCACAAAGCTGGCACAACAAATAACCCAAGGGAACATATTTCCAAAAAGCAGAAGTTGATAACATCACTTTTTAATTAGAGAAAATTATTATCTGGCCATGGACGTAATGCTTTTGGCTTGGCAAGGAATCCTTTTTGCAGTGATGGGGCGGAAACAATACACCCCATTAACTTTGTATATAAACTTCAAAAGCCCACCAAGCCAAAGCACTCTTTCTAAATCAGCTTGCTTGCTGGCACGGTACAGGCCTTCCTTCTTGCTCAAACACTATGGCTCTCTCTGTCCTCACATCAGGTTCTTCTCGGCAGATATCCTCCTATAGTATGGGAGGTGGAGGTGGGGGATCTGTTAGACTGTCAAGTGGTGTAGGCTTCAGTGGTGGTTCCAAGTTCGCTGGAGGTTATAGTGGAGGGGGTTATAGTGGAGGGGGTTATAGTGGAGGGGGTTATAGTGGAGGGGGTTATAGTGGAGGGGGTTTTGGTGGAGGAAGCCTTGCTGGAGGATATGGTGCTGGCATGGGTGGTGGCTTTGCCAGTGGCAGTTTTGCAGGTGGCTTTGGTGGTGGCTTTGGCGTGGGAGGAGGAGATGGAGGTCTCCTCACAGGCGATGAGAAGCAAACCATGCAGAATCTTAATGACCGCCTTGCTAACTATTTGGGCAAAGTACATGCTCTTGAAGAGGCAAATGCTGAGCTAGAAGTCAAAATCAAGGAATGGTATGCCAAATTCAGCACCCCTGACACTGATCGAGATTACAGCAAGTATTTTAACATCATTGAAGATCTTCGGAACCAGGTAAGTAGCTCAAATACTTTCACAAAGTATTCCAACTTCAGTGGACACTCTTTCCAGACTCAGTAAGTTGTCAATAACTTTCCACCTTTTAATACTTCCTAATTAAGTCATTACAGTAAGGGTTCTCTTTTTCAGCATGGAATAACCAGCACTAGTAAAGTTTCCCATATCCCTCAAGGAAATCATTTGTGTTGGGCAACAGGAAAATTATACATCATTGAATGCTTAAAGCATTTCATTCACACTCCATCCTACTCTGGCCATTTTAAAATTAAACTTGGTTTATTGATAATTATGGTGTGAAAATCAAGTTCCAGAATGGTTAGATGATTCATATTCTTATATATATATATACTTATTTATTTCATTTTTGTTACTTACCTAAGATTTTTTTATTCTAATTTATATTTAATACCTATAAATTGCCTAGAGCCTATGAAAATTTAAGTGATAGATAAACTGCACACATAAGCTGAGCACACTAAGGGCTAGGTGAAGATAGAATGAGGTCATTTATGATTCAGCCTGTGGTGGGAATCCAGTTCTTGGTTTAGCATATTTTGATTCAGACTTTTCAATTTAGTTATTGAACTTAACTCCTGAATTTAAATAGGTTAGCTATCCTCATGTATGTTTTGTGTGTATGTTGAATTTAAATAACTTAAGATAGCAAGAGTAAAGATGATTCTTGTGTATTTATGTCTCTGTGTGCTTGTGTGTATGCATGTGTATGTATACCTGTGTGCATGCCTATATTCTTAGATGCAAAGTATCCAGAATTTCGGGGAATGAATGTATTTCTTTTAAATGTTTGATTATAGATATGTCGACATACAATTGAGAATGCTGGGATTGTATTACAAGTTGATAATGCTCGACTAGCTGCTGATGATTTCAAACTTAAGTAAGTAAAACAATTTCACTCAGGAAAGGAAAACATGTGTTTAACTTTCCTCCAACCTACCACCTATTCAGTTTTTTAAATCATCCTTGATTATAAATCCATCTGCACTCCTTAAATGATTACTATAAATGATAATGAGCTAGGGTGGTGTAGTGAATATAGGATTGCTAATTCAGCCCACTACCAGGAGTTTGATCCTGACCAGCTGAAGGTTGACTCAGCCTTCTCAAGGCCAGTAAAATGAGGACCCGGATTGTTGGGGGAAATATGCTGACTCTGCAAACTTCTGTGAAGTACTATGAAGCAGTATATGAGCCTAAGTTTTGTTGCTAAAATGTCATTCTTCTATCAACTTTAAAGGTATGAAAATGAGTTGTTCCTACATCAAAATGTGGAGAGTGATATCAATGGCTTACGCAGAGTCTTGGATGATCTAACCATGAATAAATCAGATCTAGAGTTGCAGATTGAGAGCCTGAATGAGGAACTTCTCTACCTGAAGAAGAACCACGAAGAGGTGGGAGAAAGGTTTTTCTAAAGCCTCATTTATTTATTTATTTATTTGATTTGCCAATTGTTTACAAGATAATAAGTATAAATGTATACATAGTTGTGAATACATGAAATGGGTACATATAAGAAAAATAAAAGAATAAGAGAAACAATAGGACAGGGACGGTAGGCACGTTGGTGCGCTTATGCACGCCCCCCTACAGGCCTCTTAGGAAAGGGGTGAGGTCAATAGTAGACAGTCTAAGGTTAAAGTTTCTGGGGTTTGGGGAAGAAACTACAGAGTCGGGTAGAGTATTCCAGACATTGACCACTCTATTGCTGAAGTCGTATTTCCTGCAATCAAGCCTCAGAGATATATTTTATCAGGATATATTCCTGACACTGGCAGGTATAGCTGCTGTTAGATGACAGGAATGGTTCTCCTTTGACGAAAAGCATAGAATTTTGTTCATTTCCAAATGTCATTTTCCAGATTGCTCATACAAATTTCTGTCCCCGGCTCTTATCCCCATTGTCGATCTCTGGCAACCAGTGGAGCGGGCGGGGGAGCAAGAAAATTTTGGTACTGAGTAGAATTTAGTTACAATTCCACACAAATAATTCTTTTTTATAGCACTTTCCCAATGCATTGAAACAATGGTTAAATCCATATGCACTTTTGCTGCAGCTGCACACACTGCTGTAAAGGAAACTTTTCAGGTTTCTGCCTCAAGATAAAGTAATGCCCTGTATCCAGGATTTTCTCAAACTTGGAGTTGAATCTGCCACTGGCAACACCATAGTATTGGTAGAAAATGGCCACCAATTGGGGGGGAAAGGGCTTTTACCAGGCAAAATGCAAAGTAGATAAATGACAGACAATAAACGATATTAGTTTTAAGTGTTTATTTCAGAAGATATCTATGAAGATTCTCAGTCATCCAGGTCATAGTTGTCCCAAAGGTGCTTTTTCAAGAGGCAACTGGACTGTCTGGAAAAATCCTAGCTGTTGGAAAAACTACAACCACAATAGAGTGTATAGATACTAATGTGTTGCTTTGAAACAGTACATTTATATGTGTGTGATAACAATGGACAAAAGGAATTGTAGATTTTCGTTCTAATTTCTTCTCCCCTTTCTAAGAAGCACTGAAAATTCCCTACTCCAGTTATGTCTGCCATCTAGTGGCTAAATGAAAACATTTTAAAGGATAATAATTCATTCATTCATTTATTTATTTATTTGATTTGATTTGTCAATCGCTTACAAGATAATAGGTAAAAGTATAAACATGAGTAAGAATACAGGAATAAATGAATGTCACAGGGTAGAAATGAATGTCCTTGGTACTCTCTTAAGCACCCCGCATTATAATCCAACATTCATATATTTATCCAAGGTTGGTTTCCCTTTATAAATATGCCCTTTCTTTATTCATAGCTTCTATACTTCCCCTCTAATTATATATGTGGCAATAGATATTTATTTTATTTATTTATTTTATTTGTCAAACATGTATTAGATAACAGATATAAGTATAAACATGATTACGTGAAATAGGTACAAGAAATAGGTAAGAATAAAAGGAAAAATTAGGACAGGGACGGTAGGCACGTTGGTGCGCTTATGCACACCCCTTAAACACCTCTTAGGAATGGGTGAGGTCAACAGTAGACAGTCTAAGGTTAAAGTGTTTGGGGTTTGAGGAAGAAACCACAGAGTCAGGTAGAGTATTCCAGACACTGACCACTCTGTTGCTGAAGTGGTATTTTCTGCAATCGAGTTTGGTGCAGTTTACCTTGAGTTTGTATCTATTGTGTGCTCGTGTATTGTTGTGGTTGAAGCTGAAGTAGTCATTGATGGATAGGACATTGCAATGGATAATTTTATGTACTACGCTGAGGTCGGACCAAAGTCAGTGTAGTTCTAAGTTGTCTAAGCCTAAAATTTCAAGTCTGGTGGCATAAGGTATTCTGTTACCTTAGAGGAGTGGAGGACTTTCTCGTGAAATATCTCTGGACTCTCTCAATTGTGTTAATGTCCGATATGCAATGTGGGTTCCAGACAGATCAGATCAGATGAGATAGATAGATAGATAGATAGATAGATAGATAGATAGATAGATATGATAGACAGACAATGCCACAAATAAAACCACTACTTCTCTAGAGATGAATATTTAAATTAAAAAAAAGTACAGTTGAATTTTATAAGGATTGATAGAGGAAACTAATTCAGGATCAAAATATTTCCCAGGTTAAACTATCTCCTTTAAAACTGCCAATAGTTCTCTGAGAGTTCTCTAGAAAAATAGTTCTAGAGAACTAGAACTAAAAATTCTAAATAGTTCTAAAAATAGTTCCCTAAAAAAGAATTCAGTGAAAAACTGAATTGCAAAACTAAGTATACTCAAATCATCCAGTAAGTTCTGCTCTGCCTGTAATAAATGAGGATTCATTTATCATACTGCAGATCCCTTCAACACCAGTGTCACACTGGATCCTTGGATAGATGCCTTCTCTATTGCTATCTCAACCCTTCTGCGCATATTGCCTCTGAACCCTGGAAGGCCTGCTATTATTTTAGGAACTTGGTTCTTCCAGTAGGATCTTGTCCTTGGTAATTTGTGAACTCATATGAACAATGGTTAAATCATATGAACAATGGTTAAATGGTGATTTTTTATTTTTTTTACATTTCCTCCCTGCTCCTTTTTATTATTTATTTTGGACTGGTTTTTAAATTTAGTAATTTGTCTTAGAACATGATGATTTGCTACCTTGCAAATTGAATAAATAATAAATCACCCCAATCATTTAAATGGGTTTTGCTAAGCCTAATGTGGCAATTGCCTTGGATAGCAGATGCCAAAAGGCAGCACTTGTTATTTCCCTCTGTAGCACAATATAGTTACATGCAGGACACTGCTAGTCATATGCCTTCAAACTGTTGTTCTTCCATTAGGTGCTACGTATCATCCATATTGAAAGAAGATTCATCTGGAAATGTTTCATCTGGAAATGTAAAATGGGGAAGATGCATGAGAATAAAAACAGAATCAGAGATATCCAGAATACATCATCTTATTTGTTGTCCATCAATTTCTATCATATAATTGTCACAATGTCTACCACATTTCTCTACCACAGGAATTGATGAGTTTCCGAGGAATTACCAGTGGTGATGTCACTGTGGAAATGGATGCTGCTCCTGGAGTTGATTTGACTAAACTTCTGAATGATATGAGAGCCCAATACGAAGAACTTGCAGACAAAAACCGGAGAGAAGCAGAAGAACAGTTCAATAAACAGGCAAGAACAATCTGCTTGAGTGTCAAACACAGGAAATGTTCTATGCAGCCCGCTAAATATTGTTCTCTGACTTGTCTAGGTTGGAGCATTGAGGCAAGAGATATCTGCCAATGTGGACCAACTGAGTTCAAGCAAAAGTGAAGTTACTGAACTGAGGCGTACCATGCAAGGCTTGGAACTGGAGCTTCAGGCTCAGATTGCTATGGTAAGTGTACTGCCACACCAGCTTGATTTCTTCTGCATGGAAACATTGGGTGGTACAAGGTCAGCTTCCCTGCCTAACCTACAGCCGGGTAGTCCACCTCTTCTTTCAGTTTTCTGGAATTAACCAAAGTTAATTAACTCAATCAACCATCTGTGGGTTGTATCTACTTATCTGGAATTAGTAAATCACACTGAAATTAATAGGATTTATTTCCAAGTTAACATGAGATTACAGCTTTGTCTTTGTAAATGTCTTTCTAATTGGCACATTATAAATAACGACATTTTGTGTGGTTCAAGTATTATACCAATCTAATTTTACTCCAGCCAGAGGCCAGCACGCTTAAAAACAAATAAGCAGACAAAAAAAGTCCTTATGGCATATCTGCCCATTAATTAAAATACATTATAATTAATTAAGAATGTAAGTGATAGTCTTAAAGTTCATGCTGCAGAAGTCATCATTTGCTGTGTTCAAAAAGCTAGCAAACAAAATTTGGAGATATTATATAAAGTAGTCGTTCTTATTAGCCAAAAGAAAAATTATATCAAATCTGTCCTGTCTAGAGTTACTACTAAAGAAAGAAAAATTAGCTTGACATTGCAGTAGAACATGAATGGTTCTTTCAACCACTCACCTACCATATAGAATATAGTTATAATATTCTATTAAATATTGGCTTGCAATCCAGAACTTTCTTCCAACTGTTTAATTCAGCAACTGCTGCTTCATTTTGCCACTGCCTGTCTCTCAACAGAAACAATCCCTTGAAGGCACTTTAGCAGAAACAGAAAGAAATTACTGTGATCAGCTTGGCCAAATGCAGGCTCAGATCAGCAGTTTGGAAGAACAACTTCTGCAGATCCGGTCGGATATGGAAAACCAAAATGCCGAATATCAGCAACTGTTAGGAATAAAGACACGTCTGGAAAAGGAGATTGAGACCTACCACCGCCTATTGGAAGGAGAAGCGGGGTAAGGAATTTGCAGCATATGTAATTGGAAAAAAATACATTCTTACATCAGAATAGAGTAAGATGTGTTGTAGCACCTGGAAAACACATTTATTATGACATTTGCTCTCACAATATATAAATACCAGCCCTCCATCTGATTAGTTTCAGAACAAATTCTGAAGCTTTGAGCCTGTGGTATGTTCCACATGACAACTTATATGATATATGTGAATCACTTTTATTTTCTGTAGGAAAAAACCCTTCCAAAGTAAGTGAAACATGAACAATAAGATGATGATGATTTATTAGATTTAATATAGCCAATCATTCCAATGGATTCAAAACACTAAATTAAAACAATTAAGACATAAAACAAGGCAGCTCAGACCAAAGACAACCATTAAAGCAAAACACAACAAAAAGCTCAACACTCATAACACAGAGAAACATTAACTTTAAGCAGAGACCAAACAGACTATTATAACAGCAAATATTTCTTAGGTCCCATAAAATGACAACATTTAATAAATGGGACTTGGAGAGCATTTATTCTGTTCAAATATATTGAATGTACTGATATAATACTTACTTTCAGAATTTGGTTATAGTAATGTTATTCCCATCTTAAGCTACATGCTGAAAGCGAAGCATAGCATATGCAAGAAATCCTACCCTATAGGAGTTATACTTCATCCATCATCATAAAACTGCACTTGCACATTTTAAATACAAACAAATCAACTATTCTGGTGAGAGAAAAGTTCCTTGAGGATGGGCTCCAGCATCAGTCCGAAAACTCAGAAGACTAAGCCTCTGGTCCTGGTGACCAACCCAGATTGGATCCTGCAACATTATCCTCAGATGCACCTTCATTCATGACAAATCCATCCCTTCACCACCTTAGAAGATTAGATTTGTTCTGAGCTGTAGACATGGTTTGGAACAAATGTTCCAGTGTATAACTTTTCTGTGGTTCCCCTACCCAGTTCATATTTCTCTCCAGAGAGGGGAAGCATAGATTGGCAGATCATACCAAGATTACTCCCCATACCCTACATTTTCCCAGATGATCTCAAAAGAGTCTCTCTCCTAAAATTAGTCTCAGGCTTTCCATGATCAGACAGCTCCAGATAACCTTTCCCCTCTTGCATCTAACCTTAGCTCATAAGTGCCCTGACAACATAATTTTCTGCTATATCCTCATAGCATGTTCCCAACTCATAACTGAGCAGATTTAGTACTGTGAATCTTAGCTAAATCTGATGCTAAAAAAATATTTCCCCTATTCTTTCAACACCGTCTCAAGCTATAGAAAATCTATTAGGCTTTGTCACCTTAGACAGAAGCAGTAATTACAATTATTTAAAACAAATGCAATACAGGCAGAACAGGGATTAGAATTAGAGAAAGCCAACGTCATGCTGATAAAGAGGATTTTTTAGGGGGCAATTCAAGATGGGTGGAGAAAAGATGGTGGGAATGAATAAGCTTGGAAGAAGTGCCCTGACATCCATACTTGGAAGTTGACAATGATAAGGACCACACAGTGGAGGAACAAGATTTTTATAAAGCCCAATGCTTTATAAATCCCACTGATGGTACTGAGAAAGAGCTGAATATTTACAAAACATAAATTCTTTCTTTACAGAGGATATTCCACAACTGTCTACAGTTCAGGACCTCCTATGAAAGGTAATGCATATATTTCTATAAAATCTTGCTTGTAGTACTTCCTGTTATTTTCTTTCACATTAACAATATACTACCTCTCCTATGCCCTTGCAATATTTTTTGCAATATCCCCTTTCATCTTGATGTTCCCTATTCCAGATCTGCTTTGAATGAAGCCTCTCAGACAAGTGTACCTAGGCCCTGGGTGGATGATGGAATTGTAGCTAAGTGTGTTGGCTTCAAGGAAGCTGAGCATACAGGGGTAACCCCTGTGCTGGCATGACCATATCACTCTGCATTACAAATTTAAAAGACCCTAACCTAACCCATTGAAAAACAATAATTATCAAATCATACATATTATACTTCTGCCCCTCATCATTACCAAATGATAGATGCTGAGTACTGAAGCTATTTGAAGCTACTGAGTATTGAAGCTATTTGTAAAGGAGTAGGGTACAGAGTTGATAGATGCTGAGTACTGAAGCTATTTGAAGCTACTGAGTATTGAAGCTATTTGTAAAGGAGTAGGGTACAGAGTTAGCCATGGACATACTAAAGGACGGAACAAGGGAGTATTGGTAAAATAGAGTACACAATCCTGCCTTGATTTTCTTTAGTATTAAGATGGGAAGAGAGGAATTTGAACTGGCCTTCAACTCCGAGATTGTATCTTATTAAAATAAAGAGCATTAACTTTTTTTATGCCTCTTTCCTGAAAAGCTCATCTTGAAAATCACAGTACAATATTCATTGCATATACTTGAGACTTATGAAAAGGCTACAGATTTGCCCATATTAATGTGTTTGGTTTTAGATACTTTAACTACTCATCCTTATTATTAATGTAATACTAAAACTTATTTTCTTAATGTTGAATTAAAATATTAGCTGGATTACCACATGACACTGAAACATGGTTCTTTTTAACTATATCTTGTGGATATATTGCCCGGATTCAATATATTCAGGATATATTGACTGGATTCACACATAACAGCAATCAAAAATTTAAAAGTATATTTATAGCTTAATGTTTGAACCTAGCAAAAGCAGAAGTCTCCAATTCAAACCAGACAAGGATGATTAAAAATAGAGTGTTACACCTATCCTTGCTTGCATTTTTCTACAACTATTTTTCTCCCCAGGGGACTTATTTATTCCAACATGATCTACATTTGGTGTGTCCCAGGACATATGCCTTCTCTGCCATGGCACCTGCCTTATAGCACATTCTTTTCGCCCACAAAAAAAAATTAAGTTGACCTCTTCTCTTTTATTATTCTAAAAGGCCACAGATCTGGTTATGTGTCCAAACCTGAAGTCTCCCGCAAAACTGGAGATTGTCTGGAGGGGTCCATTGTTGAGGTTTTTTTTAAAAAAAATTCTCTCTTCATCTATGGTTTATATTTTTGGTTTTTATGTAATTTATTACTATGGCTTTTATATTTATTTTTGCTGTTTTTATAATTTCTGTTTTTATCTATTGTTATCCACTACCCAGAGTTGCTTTTGATGAGAAATAAATAAACATTTGATAAAGAAATAAATAACATTGTACTGTATGTATTTTATTTCAGAGTCAACAAAAACCAGAATGGTTAAAACAATCGTAGAGGAAATGGTGGATGGCAGAGTGGTTTCTTCCCAAGTCAAATCAGTTGAAGAGAAGCCATCGAGTAAATTACAAAAATAACTTTCCATTTTATAAACTTTCTAACACAGAAGCAAGAAAAAACTTCTTCAAAAGCTAGACTTAGAAATCATTCTTTTTTTAAAAAGCAATAAGTTTTTTCTTTAAAACTTTCTAATTTCTATCTACTTTTTTATGCAAGTTTCTAAAATACACCTCAAAATGTGCTTTCTTTTAGCTTGAGTAGCATAATAAACTTTTTCACTATTTGCAAGTTACAACAGTGTTGCTGTGCTCATTATCAAAAATCTCCACTGAAGTCTGCAAACATGTTTTATTTATAGTATTTTAAAACTGCTTTATTTCAATAAATATAGAGATGCTCTACATTTTAGGCATACCTATGAAAAAATAAATGTTTGCTGCAGCAATTAAATCATTAGGAGTGTTATATAGTAAACACTTTTACTTTAATATGTATGTATGTATGTATGTATGTATGTATGTATGTATGTATGTATGTATGTAAGTAAAAGTATTATATATATATATCTTCCCCTTCACCCTTCCACCTCAAAAATGAAAATGAACAAAGTGAATCAAAATGACAGAGTCGGGAAACAGATTTTGTTTTACTTAATGTATATTAATTGGGCATTAATTAAATTGAATTGACATTATCATTTGCCTTGTATTACCTCCTATCATTAGTGGCAACTTTTAGACATACCTCTATCCCATGAAGTGGCATGCCCTAATTTTTGCTTATACAATCAAGTATGTGTTTAATAATAGTGATATGTGATGTGCGATCTTAAGCTCAATTAGCCTGTCTCTTTGTAGACGAGAAAAGCAACCAGACACTTTGTAACAATATCAAATAATGCCACATATGTCACTGTTGCATATCTTGCCATATGACATAATAATCTGATATCTTCCACAAGTAGTGATAATCTCCAGAATATATATCTGCAGGGAATCTAGTTTTTAAAAACTGCCATTTTTCCACATGAATTAAGTTCTAAGTTATTGCAATCGCTAGCATGAAACATGGACCTTACTTACTGTAGGACCTTACCTATTGTATTTATGTAAATGTGAAAAAGTACACAAAAACACTAATAAAATAACACAAAGGCAGCAACTATATGAAATACATTCATTCATCTCAACATTACAGCAGGGAGTAGCTTATCCATCTCCAAGTCCTGTTGAAAAACTCAGCTTTTGATGCCCTTTCTGAAACCCAGAATGTCCAGATCTCAAGAGAATACTATTCAAAGGAGACAGCAGTTGGAAAAAAAATCTGACTCCTCAGCTCCTGAAATTAACAGCGTTTAAATCATGAGTGTCCAACCTTTTGACTTGCCTGAACCATAATGAGTAAAGAGGAATTGTCTTGGGTTACTTATATATATATATTTTTGGGGGGGGGAGGTGGTTCAGCTGTTAAAGATGCTGAGCTTGTCAACTGGAAAGCTGACAGTCCAGGTTCAAGGGTAAACTCCTGTTCCTGCTCCTACTCACCTTGCTGTTTGAAAGCATGAAAATGCAAGTAGGTAAATAGATTTCTCACTTTATAGGAAGGTAACAATGTTCTGTGTGCCTTTGGTATATAGTCACATGACTCTTCAGACAATGCTCCCTTGGCTAAAACACAGAGATGAGCACTGCCCCCTAGAGTCGAAAACGTCTGGAGGAGGAAACCTTTACTTTTATACACTGCTCAAAAAAATAAAGGGAACACAAAAATAAGACATCCTAGATCTGAATGAATGAAATATTCTTATTAAATACTTTGTTCATTACATAGATGAATGTGCTGACAACAAAATCACACAAAAATTATCAATGGAAATCAAATTTAGCAACCCATGGAGGTCTGGATTTGGAGTTACACTCAAAATTAAAGTGGAAAAAAACACTACAGACTGATCCAACTTTGATGTAATGTCCTTTAAACAAGTCAAAATGAGACTCAGTTAGTGTGTGTGGCCTCCACGTGCCTGTCTGACCTCCCTACAACGCCTGGGCATGCTCCTGATGAAGTGGCGGATGGTCTCCTGAGGGATCTCCTCCCACACCTGGACTAAAGCATCCCCCAACTCCTGGACAGTCTGTGGTGCAACATGGCGTTGGTGGATGGAGCGAGACATGATGTCCCAGATGTGCTCAATTGGATTCAGGTCTGGGGAACGGGAGGGCCAGTCCATAGCATCAATGCCTTCATCTTGCAGGAACTGCTGACACACTCCAGCCACATGAGGTCTAACATTGTTGTGCATTAGGAGGAACCCAGGGCCAACCGCACCAACATATGGTCTCACAAGGGGTCTGGGGATCTCATCTCGGTACCTAATGGCAGTCAGGCTACTTCTGGCGAGCACATGGAGGAATGTGCAGCCCCCTAAAGAAATGCCACCCCACACCATTACTGACCCACTGCCAAACCGGTCATGCTGGAGGATGTTGCAGGCAGAACATTCTCCATGACGTCTCCAGACCCTGTTACGTCTGTCACATGTGCTCAGTGTGAACCTGCTTTCATCTGTGAAGAGCACAGGGCGCCAGTGGCAAATTTGCCAATCTTGGTGTTCTCTGGCAAATGCCAAACATCCTGCACGGTGTTGGGCTGTAAGCACAACCCTCACCTGTGGACGTCAGGCCCTCATACCACCCTCATGGAGTCCATTTCTGACCGTTTGAGCAGCCACATGCACATTTGTGGCCCGCTGGAGGTCATTTTGCAGGGCTCTGGCAGTGCTCCTCCTGTCCCTCCTTGCACAAAGGCGGAGGTAGCGGTCCTGGTGCTGGGTTGTTGCCCTCCTACGGCCTCTTCCACATCTCCTGATGTACTGGCCTGTCTCCTGGTAGCGCCTCCATGCTCTGGACACTACGCTGACAGACACAGCAAACCTTCTTGCCACAGCTTGCATTGATGTGCCATCCTGGATGAGCTGCACTACCTGAGCCACTTGTGTGGGTTGTAGACTCCGTCTCATGCTACCACTAGAGTGAAAGCACTGCCAGCATTCAAAAGTGACCAAACTATCAGCCAGAAAGCATAGGAACTGAGAAGTGGTCTGCGGTCACCACCTGCAGAACTACTCCTTTATTGGGGATGTCTTGCTAACTACCTATGCTTTCCACCTGTTGTCTATTCCATTTGCACAACAGCATGTGAAATTGATTGTCAATCAGTGTTGCTACCTAAGTGGACAGTTTGATTTCACAGAAGTGTGATTGACTTGGAGTTACATTGTGTTGTTTAAGTGTTCCCTTTATTTTTTTGAGCAGTGTATATAAATATATATGATATAGGTAATGTATATAAATCACATAATGTTAAAAGTTTTGATCTTGTGGGGCCACATTATTTGCTGTCCAGGACCACATGTGGCTTGCGATCCATAGTTTGGCCACATCTAGTCTTAGTGAAGGGCCTACAGATTCTAATTGGAAGGGTAGAACTAATTAGGATAAGACAGTCCCAAAGAAATCCAGATCGTATGTAAGGAACAGCTTTAAAAGGCATAACCAGAACCTTCTAGTCAGTGGAACTCTCAAAGCAGCATCACATGGACAGACTGAAATGTGCATCGCTATATAAGCTGCCACTTTCTGGACCAGATGTACTTTCAATTTAGGTTTAAAATGTCAGCTGCGCATGAAATGTTTTGCACCAGTCCAGGCATGTGACTAAGCCACATGAAACTAAGAAAAGGGTGTCTCATTCCAAGAAGGGTTGAAATTAACTAAATTGACAGGCATCACTGAAAACTCATTCAGTTATGCAACAGAGTTGTGTTAGGGACCTATAAGTGATATTTCTCACTACTCTGGTAAATGCCAATATGTCCATGCTAACTGCTATCACATCATTAGCAAATTATCTCTAATGTGAAATAGTATATAGCAGTCTAGCAAAGCCAGGTAGCTTTTTACAATATATGGTATTAATATAACTGCTCAGTTCAGTAATAGATGTGGAACATAAATATTTCATCAGCAAACCTACACATTCTTAACATGGAACACCATGGAATTTCATTTTGAAAGATAAGCAAATGAAACTATGTCAAAGCTTGGTAATCAATTAGAATTTTGCCCTTCCTACAGTAGCCGTCACAGCAAAAATCACAGAACTATAGCACAGGAAGAAAAATCAATACCTGTTCCAAATTTATTGGGCTTTTCAAAAGATCTCAAGAAAACATTCTTGAAACATGATTTGGTGGCACTGCGAACAACATTCACAGAGCAAGATTGGTATATTCTGAAGAAATATCTTGTCTGTTCAAGTAGATATAGTTATTTCAAATGATTTGCTCTACAGGAAAAAGTAAATCTAAAATAAGAATATTTTTGGACAACATACTTTAAAGAAGTATAACTTGCAAAGTTAAAGTAATGATTAAAGGGCCAGTTATCCTGCAATATGCCTGTTCAAATAAAACAAATATATATCTCGAAAACAGAATTTACCATAGAGGTTAAAAATCAGAAGATTGGGAAAATAATTAATATGAGTGCCTTCCTTGCTTTCTTGTTTCAGCTATTTTTGCTAGTCTATATTTTAGCTCCCTCGAATTCTCTTGCAGCTAGCAGTTGTTGCAACACTCACAAAGAAAGAGAAGTAGATTTATGTAATTAGTTATGAACATGCTGCCTACTCATCAGATTCTAGATAGTCTCAGTGTTCTTAAAATATGTGTGAACAGTACAAAAATGAGTTTGACATTCATATATTAATCTGCAATCTATTTAACAATTACTGTACTGTATCAAACAGAGAGTTCCTGGCAATATTAGATCCCCAAAGCATCAAGCAATGAGCAGTTAAGTTGGTGACATCTGGAAAGTTTTTAGTCATTTCCATGATGAAAGGAATGAACACAAATTCATACCACAGTAGTAGAAACAGAATATCCACGGTATTGGATAGTGTTTCTCAATCTCAACAACTTTAAAATGTGTGGATTGGCTGGAAGTTGAAGTGTACAAATCTAAATTTGCTCAGATTGAGAAACATTGATATAGAGTGACCACTTTCTAGGTCTGTATGGACTGGAAACCAGCTTGAATAAGAACATATTCTATTAATTCTGCTCTAATCAAAGATAAAGTGCTTCTCAAAGTTATCATTGAATTATCACAGCATTGTTGAATTTCTGCAAAAAATATTAACTTAACCATCACATTTTTTTAGCTGTCACATTGCCTTCTATAGAGCAAAGTGGGTGCATGGGATAGGAAATTAAATTTTTCTCT